GAAGGAGAGGGAGAGAACTGTCCTGTGAAAGATCTGGAGCCAGAGCCAGGGGCAGGGGCCAGGGTGGGCAGGATGGCCAGCCAGAGCCCTGCCTCACGTCCAGATGGTGGGACTGGCCTTGCTGTTGCTGTGTGACTAGTGGCAGTCTGGTGCCTTCTCTGTGCTTTGCATCTCTAATGATCAAGGGAGATGTCCCAATCCCTGAAAAATAGTGGGGGCAGGACTAGAGCCATGACTTGGGGTGACAGGCACCAAGGTCCTTCCGATGCTGGGGGCCTTGGCCCAGTTACACACACACACACACACACACACACACACACACAAGAGGGAGAAGGGAGAGCAATTGCTTCTGTTTTAGAAGGTGACTAAGCATTCCTGGGCAGTGTATGCAATGGGCTGTGCCAGGCAGTAACTGCCATGCCCCTTCTTTTTGGAGATTTGTTGAACCTCTGACCTCCTGGGAGGAAAGTAGACCAGGCCTGGGTGAATATGATGGGAGTGGGAATATTCTTGGGGGAACCTTTCCAAAGAAACCTGCCAGCTGCCCAAGCTTTCTCCCCAGCGGGAGAGGCAAGCAAGCTCCTTTTTAGCTGGTTTCTTTGTTTGCCACTCAAGGTGCCTGGGGCGGGATGGTTTGAGACTATTTGGCAACACTCTCTAAGCTTCTCCTGCTGGCACTCCTGGTGGGGACCATGCCCACCTGGGGCATCTCTCTAACCCCCAGGGAGCTGTGGCTTGCCCTTCCCCATCCAGGCAGCCTCTTCTATCCAGCGGTTCCCAAACCCAGGAGATATTTTTTGTATGTATTTTTAAACTAACCTTTTAAATAAAATACTCATATGATAAACAATTCCAAGAGACCATATAGACATGAAATGAAAGGTAAAAATTTTGCCTGTCCCAGTCCCTGCCAAACCCCCTCGGGAGCCTTTATAGAAATGCAGCTGCCCTGGGTGGTTCTACCCCCGAGGGCTGGATTCCGTAGGTGAGGCCCGAGCTCCTGTGGCGTTGACAAAATCCTGTCAGCGAGTATCTGGCCCGTGCTAACTCCCTGCCAGGGGCTCTGTGTGCTTTCCAGCCCCAGCTCACCAGGCCCACGCAGAGTTCATTAACACTGCGGGGCGTGTGGACGCAGCTGGTGCAGCCAGAGGTGACTGGCCTGGGTACAGCGTCCTCCACAGGCCCCACTGAGGGGTCACTTCTCGGCTCCCTGGTGGCCAGTGTCAGGACCCGGGTGGGAATTAGAGCATGAGCTCATTCAGGCTGCCCCAGAGCTTTTGGTCCTCGTGAGGGAGCCTGTGGGGTGGCACCAAGACATCTTTCCCTTCCTCCCCATCCTCCTGTCACCCCTGCCTGGCACTCTGTCCTGATGATTATTTATCCAACCTCCCAGGATCCTGAGTCGTGCGGAGGCCCGGTGGAGGGTGGGGCATTGCCTGTTCCAGACTTGGAGGCCTATTTTCTCTCCTGGTTCCTGTGCCTCTGGTCAGAATCTCACAGCCCACCTGCCTGCTAGAGCGCAGCCCCTCTACAGACAGAGAGCCCTCCAAACTGCCTAATTGCACTCCCCCCAGGATTCCCCCGCCCCTTCTCTGTCCCACCTTGCCCTGCTGGCCTCAGAAACCTACCCCCAGAGTTTCCACCCACCCATGCCTGCTGAGCTCTGGGCAGGGCTGGCTCCCAAAACCCCAACATCCTGGAGGCCTACCCTCAGGGAGGGAGAGGGAAGGTTTACAGGTATGTTATGGGCATTGGGGGATGACCCTTCCAGGTACCCAGGCTTCCTTCAGATCTCTCACCATTGTGGGACTCTACTGAGCTGCATGGATTGGTTTAGCAATTAATCAATTATTAGAATGGGAGGCAATATAGTGTAGTAATTATGGACATGGATTGAGATCCCAGCTCGGCCAGTTTTTAACTATGAGATCTTTGACAAGCTGAGCTCTAGGCCCTGGGAACGTGGCAGAGACCGACAGACAAGGTCTTGCTCTCATTGCACCTGTTTTCTAGGAAGGGGGACTAAAAAGAGCATTAAACACACAGTTAAGCTGAGTAATCTCGGGAAGTGATGAGTGTTATGAAGAAAATAAGACAGGGTAATGGGGAAATAATGGGGCAGGAGGGACACTCAGAACAAAAGAAGGAGGCAGCCATGAGAAGACCCAGGATAAGAGCATTTCAGGCAGAGGGCACAGCAAATGCAAAGGCCCTGAGGTGGGAAGGGCTCTATGTGCTTGAGCCCAAAAGGAGACCAATTTGGCTGGAGCTTCAAAGTCAAGATGAGGCAGGACCCAGCAGGGTCTTGCTGGCTGTACTGGGGAGTTTGGATTGTATTAAAAGTACATTGGGGCCCGGCCGGGCGTGGCTCAGTGGTTGAGCGTCCACCTGGGATCCAGGCGATCGGGGTTCGATTCCCGGTCAGGGCACATGCCCGGGTTGTGGGCTCGATCAATGACTCTCTCATCATTGATGTTTCTATCTGTCTCTCCATCTCCTTTCCTCTCTCTGAAATCAATAAAGATGTATTAAAAAAAAAAAAGTACATTGGGAAGCCGTGGGAGAGTTCAAAGCTCAGGAGTGACAGGATCTATTTTATATTTTAATAAGAAATCCTTGGCTGCTGAGGACTTTTGATGGGTGGGTATTAGAGGGTATGTCCAGGAGTAGATTCTCAGAGCTCTGAGTTCTAATAAGGCTGGAGCATTTTGATAAGTGATTTTGATAAAGGGACTGCTTCTTTATCGCTGTGCCTCAGTTTCCCCATCTACATAACAGAGCAAGGTCTCAGAGGTCAAGAGAAATACAATCCCTACACTTCCTGGGGTTTCCTGTATAGTGTTAGAAAATAAAAACATTTCAAACAGAGTTACAAAAATTATTGTATAACGTGTCTGTTTCCATTAAAGAAATTAATGCTTTTAGTACTGAAAGTTGCAATGCAGTGGAATTGTACTATGCACAAGACCATTATAAGATTTATAAAAACAATTAGTTCCCAGCATTTCCAGCAGTGAGGTCTGGTAACCAGGCACGAGTTAGCTGCATGACCAACAGTTTCTTCTTTCAATCCTGGGTATAGCTCTGCTCCTGGGTAACCTCACATAGAGGAAACACGAGAATTCCGAATTTGCCCCTCCCCACATGCAGCCTCAGCCAGGAGGCCCCAGCCCCCCCTGCTAAGCCCAACTTTGACCTGCCTGTTTTCTAGTCCTGCTGGGGATGGAGGGATGGAGGGATGGAGGGATGGAGGGGCAGGGTACGGAGCAGGGCCTGGGGCCAGCCTTCCTCAGTCCACTGGGGCCCTCCACCGGTAGATGGGGATTCCCCTCCTTCGCACTGGAATTGCCCTTCCCCCACTCTAGAGGCTAAGGAGGGAGGCAGGGAGGGAAGGGGAATTAGGGGGATACCCCTGGGCCCACCTTCCCTCCTTAGCCTGCAGCTGGTCTTTAGCTGGGGAGTTGAGCTTACACTCTATGAAAACTTGATTGGATTTAATTGCTTTGCTGATGGAAAAGCCACATTTCAGTATTGATCTTGGCTTCTGCTGCCTTTGGAGGATGGCTGTGATTGCTTAATGGAGGGGGTGGGGCAAAGGGAGCTGGCCGCCAGGGGACAAGGGCTGAGGCTTCTCCACGCTCATCACCCTCCCTGGTGCCTACCTGCTCTGAAGGGGCCACTGGGAGACCAGGGTTCTAGCCCTAGCTCTGCCTCTGAGTGTCTGTGGGAGAACCCTCCCTTGGGCCTCGATTTTCCCCTTTGGGAATTTGGGGCAGGTAGAAGTGGTGGAGGTTTGTCAGGGCAAGGAGGAAAGTATAGCACAGGATTTTAAAGCTCACCCCTGGAGTCTGGCTGCCTGGGTACAATGCGTGGGTACAATGCGTGGCTACATTGCTCACTACGGGAGTGACTTTGGGAAGGCACTTAACCTCTTGGAACCTCTGTTTCTTCTTCTTAAAAGCCAGAATAGTAATTACACCTCCCTCAAAGGGTTGCGGTGAGGGTTTGAAATGCATACAAAGCTCTCTGCACAATGCCTAGAGCATGGTAAATATTCTACATTTGTAAATGGTCCCTGTTTTATTGGTGTTGCTTTTGAAAATCAAAGCATTAATGACTGAATTGTGAGTAAAGCATCAGAAAGGGAAGTGGGAAATACATTTCCAGTCCCAGTTTCTGCCACCGATGAGGCCTCAGCTTCTCAGGCTGCAGTTTCCACATCTATAAAATGGGGACAGTGATGCCCACAGCTAGGGTTGCTGGGAGGACCGGAATGGGGTATGACTGTTTCTAGCAGCCTCAGAGTCAGAGACCAGAGGTGGCAGATCCTGACCAGGTGGGTGGGGAGGCCCAGGGGATTAGGACAAGCATCCGGGGAGGCAAGTGTGAGAGCTCTGGGTAAGCCACATATAAGTTCTACCCTGGAGATTCTTTGGGGCTCTCTGTGTCCTCTGCAGGGGAGGTGGCTTCTGCAAGTTAATACAGCTCTTCTGCAGAGAATACCCACTGCCTTAGAAATGTTCACTCATTCAATCTTTTGTTCTTTCATTCAGTTATTTTTTGAGCACCTACTATGTGCCAGGCATTTGGGTAGCTGCCAGGGGTATAACAGAGACCAAGGCCCCACCCTCAAGGGTAGAGATATCAATGAGCCATTGAGATATGCTGTGCAGGGGCCCTGAGAGCACAGAGGAGGGGTCCCCACCAGCCTGGCAATCAGGGCAGGCTGCCAGGAGAGGGGAGGATCTAAGGATGGGTAGGAGTGAGTGATGGCCAGTGAAGGACCAGTGGGAGGTTGAGGGAGACTGTTCCAAGTTGAGAGAACCAGTGTGCCAAGGCCTCAAAGTGAGAAGTGAAGTTCATCAGTTTAATCTGGCTGGAGTGTAGTGTGAGGGTCAGGGCTGGAGGAGGGCAGAGCTGGAGGAGGGGCATGGCGGGTGGTCCCCTCCTGGTGGGGTGGGGGGGGTCCTGGCTTTATGGAGTTTAGGTCTTATACTGGAAGAGGCTCAGGGATACCCTTCATTTGAGAGCCCTGGAGATTGGAGCCCAGAGAGGGGAAGGGTCTTCTGCATCATTGCAACCCTGGCCTCTCCTTCTGCTGCATCTCACTGCCTCCCTGGACAACCCAGAGGCCCTGCCTGAAAGGCCAGCTCTTCCAGGGCCCAGGGGCTGCCCTGGGGGATGGAGCTCATTAGAAGCTGTAGGAGGGAGAGATGGAGCGGGTGGAGGTTCCTCCTCACCTGGGACTCACCTGGGCATCTATCTGTGTTTCAGACCATCAGAAGCTGGAGCGTGAAGCCCGCATCTGCCGTCTACTGAAGCACCCCAACATCGGTACATTCTTCGGGGACAAGTGAGGGGCCAGGGGTGGGGCTGGGCTCGGGTCCCCTGCCCCTCCTGGTGGGTTTTTGCTGATGGGGTGGGGAGGCAGTTGCTTTCTTCTCGGGATGGCGGCAAGAGAGATAGGAACAGGGGGTGTCTTTGATGGTTTCCACATTCCACAGAGACCAGCTTGGGTGGGGGGAAGGTGAAGAAGGGGCCCTTCCTCGCAGCCCACGCTGCCGGCAGCCTCCTTCAGAAAAGCTGTTTCAGGAAAACTCCCGAAGCCTTTCATCTCTTGAGAGAGATGAAAATAGGCCACGCTTGGTCTTGACCAGTGCAGCCCACTTCCCTCACCCACCCCCATGCTGAGTCAGCCTGGCACCGTGCCCCTGCCCACCCACTTAGACCTGTGGCTGGCCTGCCCCTTACAGGCAAGCTGCAAGGTGGCTCCTGCCCCCAGGATAGATGGAGTGCAGGCCATGTGGAGAGGTTGGGCCCAGGACAGGCCTCACCTCCCCTCTCCTCCCCAATCCCTGCACAGTTGGGGAGGCTGCGTCCCTACCCATCAGGTGAGTCAGAGGAGAAAAAATACAGATTCTAGATATAGTTTTGTCAGGAAATGGCTGTGTGACCTTGGGTAGGAGCACTACCCTCTCTGAGCCACTTTCCCCTATCTTCACAAGGAGAGGGCTATCCAAACCACCTGGGCATTTTGTTAACAGGTAGATTGTGGCTCAACAGGTCTAGGTCTGGGTGGGGGCCAATATTTAGCATTTCTAACATGCTCTGAGGTGATGCCAAGGCTGCTGGTTCACAGACCACACTCTGAGGAACAAGGCCTGGCTGCTCTCTAAGGAGTATTCCAACTCTGACAGCGACCACACCTTCTCCCTCCAGGGAAGCATCTCTCTGTGCCCAGGGCCCCAAGGGTTAACTCTCCTGCTAAAGAGAAGCGCTCTGTCTGCTATTTATACCCGGGAGGCACCTCCCCTTCCCTGTGCCTGGGAAGGAGAGCAGGGCTGCACAAACAGCAGCTGGCGCTGGCGGGAGGGACTCTGGTTGGACCCTGGGCCCCAGTCTGCTTCTGGCCTCACTGTGTGGCCCCCTCCCAGCCTCCAGCTCCCCAACTGTATCATGGAGGAGCTTGTGAGTGATCTCTGGCTACAAAATTCCAAGGTTCTTTAAAGGAGGTATGAGTGAGTGAGTGTGTGTTGCTACTCCATCACAGCTGCCTCGGGTCAAAGCTCCCTCCTCCCCCTTGTGCCCCTTCCCCCTCTCAGTCCCAGCTCTAATGGGGAGCAGTAAGTTATGGGCCCTGGGGATGACAGACCATAGCTCTCTGTATCATTACCACCTGCTGATGGGGCAGACCCCAGAAGGCCCCCTCAGGGAGCAGGGGACAACCTGAGGGTTTAGCAGGTGATTTGGGGTGCCAGGCACTGTGTTGAGTGCTTTACCAGCACGATTGCAGTAATCCCCCACTGCTGTTAGGAGAGGAGGCTCAGAGAGGTTACAGAGTGTGCCCAAAGTTACACAGCTAATAAGAAGTGTTGCTGGGGGGTGAACCCAGCAAGCCTGACTTCAGAGTCTACTCTCAGTCATTCTATTTAGCTTCCCAAGTGGACCTCAGGCGTGTGCTGTCAGGGGGACATGTGGGTAAGGGAACAAGTACTACCCTTCACCTTCTAAGAAAAAAATGGCAACTGTTAGAAATATGGCAGGAATGTCAGAAACTTGTGAGTTCAGCTACATAAATGAAAACTAGGTTACAGAATTTTGGTTTATGAAAATATTTTAAAAAGTAAAAAAAGGGACAGTATAATGCAATGGGCATAGACATGCCGATCTCTGCACCAGGGGTCACACCGTTGCATAGCCTGTGGCCCTTGAATTCTGCCTTTCCTCTTGGGCTCTGGGCTGAGTTTGTTTTCAGGGAGACCTCTGCTGATGGGAGGGGAGGTTTTTATGTGAAAACAGCAGTGAAAGGAGAAGGCCTGTCTCTTGGACTCCGAGCGGTGATTCAGCTACCTCTTGGTGACTGAAACTGACTCCAATATTCTGCCATGGATGGGGGCTGGAATCCAGCCCATGTCCCTGTCACCTGGCTGCTCAGAGGAACAGCCTTTTATAATTAGCGCAAATGCACCACCTGAGCTAAAGTCAGCTGGAGAAACACCCCATCCCAATTCTGTCCATTCCCCTGAACCGTGAGGGCCTTCTCTAAAGGGGCTGGGGCTCCTGGTTAGAAGGTGACCTGGGACCCCAGTCTCTTTGGAGCTCCCTGTAAATGGCTGTTGGGCAGCCCTGAAAGCCCTTTCTCACATGGTTCTGGCTGCAATGTGGCTACTCACCCTCAGGGAAGTCCAAGCCTCTCATGCCCCACTGGAGCGGAGGAGACAGGAAGGAGCCGATCGCCAAGAGCCCACCTGGAGGAAGCTGGGGCAAGAAAAGGGTCTTTTTCAAAACTTGACCTTGATACACTAACAATGCAAGTTTATTGTACATAAATGAGAAGACAAGTAATTTTTAAAGTATCTCCTATAACTTCAGCATCTAGGGCTAACACTGCATGATTTTGCTTCCATGTGACAATTAGTGCCTGCACCTTCTCAAGTACACCTGCACACCTCTTCTCAGGTCAGGTTTCCTAGAAGAAGAGCCCAAGGTAGGGACTCAGGTGCTTGTGCTCCCAGAGGACACCTGTAAGGGATGGGGGTGGGGGGGGGGAAGCAGGAGGGAAAAGGGGAAGGAATGTGGCCTGAGGCCAGGTACAACTTTGACTTGATCCCAGGTGGGGTGTGTGTGTGTGTGTGCAGTGGGGAGGCCTCTGGAGCATAAGTCCCATCTTGGAGTTGTCCCTCCTTAAGGCAAGGAGACTGGGCCTCTGCAGCAACCTTGCCTCCCCATGTTACCTGCAGGCATTAGTTGAAGGCTGCAGGTAATCTGGTGGGCAAGGTGGCTCCATCACCAGTGGGCAATTCCCCAGAAAAACTAGAGCAGCTGTGAGCAGCCAACCTTCCCAGCAGCTGCAGGTGGCTGCACTGTCTTACCAAGGGGGGTCTGGGCAGGGCCTCAATGTAGGGTTGCTACAGTCTGCACACAAAAAACACAGGATACTCAGTTCAATACACATATACCTTTTCAAAATTAAGCCTGCATTTGCTTTGAAATGCATTCAAAAATTAAAATTGATGAATGGATGGAGGGATGGATAGACATGTAGTAAGACAAGTATAAGAAAACATTAATGATAGGACCCAGGTGGTGGGCACATGGGTGGCCACTTGACTGTATGTTTGAAATTTTTTATAATAAAATGTTGATTAAAAAAATCAAAGCAGGATTATACTATATATACTTTTAGTATATATAGTATAATCCTATACTATAGGATTTTTAGTTTTGCTTTAATATAGATTTAAAACATTTTTCAGACATTATTTATAATATATGTATCATCATTTAAGAATTCAATTTTTGTGTGCCCCTTTCCTCCTGCTCCATCTCTGGTCTCCATCTCCCCTTCCCCCATAGTAGGCACCTAGTCCCAGGTATTTGATGCCTGTTTCTCCAAACTTTATGTGCAAATTTGAGAGCCATAAGGAATTTAGGGGACTCAGTATTGAGTCAAAAATCCATGTGCATGGCCAGAATTCCATGGCATTAGGGTTTACAGTGAAAAGTAAGTCTCACCTATCCATGACCCCTGCTCCCCCAATTACACCCCAAGGCACCCCAATGCCCACATCTCCATGTCCCCGAGACTAATGACATATACAGGCTTCAATGCATCTTGAAAAAATGACGATGCACACTGTTTCGCATTTTGCTTTTCACTAAACAGCATAATTGAGAGCCGATTCCAAACCAGTGAATAGATAACTGCCGCATGATCTTCACAGCTGTGTAATTTTCTATCGTGAGACGCATTACAATCCTCTGGCCTGCACCCCCTCTGCGCACATTTTCAGCTGTGGCGCAGGAGAGGATGTGAACCTGTCCAGGGAGAACTTGCCCTTGGCTGGCAGGGTGCAGGGCCTGGAGTCAGCCCCAGACCTCTGGCCCTTTCTTTCAGAAGCGCAGGGAATAATTTTGGAAGCTCTGGGCTCCTGGGAAGCTGGCTCTGTTCTTGGTAAATGAGGTATGAAGGGATGGCAGTTTTTTAGCATGCCAGAACTTGGGGACTGCTGTCACTGCTGCCTCCACCGGCCTATTGTCTGCTCAGACCTGGAAGCAGATCAGGGATATTCACTTGGGGCCAGCACCGACTGAGCACTGACTGTGTGCCTCCAAGTCCAAGAGTCTCACTCTCATTGTCCAGGCAAGGAAAGAGAGGCTCAAAAAGGTGTAGCAACTTGCCCAAAGTCACACAGCTAGCAAGTGGCAGAGATCTGAGCCTCAGGCTCATTCTATGGTGCTCATTTGCCCAGAAAGGAAACTGAGGGTTGGAGCCAGGAGTGGACCAAACTTTGACCAAAAATGGGGTCTGTTGTTTTTAAGCCCAGGCCCCTTTGGGCAGTGCCTGAAGTCAGCGAGCCCCTGTTCACCTGCATTTGTCAAAGCACCTGGTACCTAGCGTGTGCTCAGTGACCGTCTGAGAAATTGCAATGTTGGCTGTTGGAAGGATGAGAGGAAGGGCAGGGTGGGGACCAGTGTGCTCTGGTGTAACTGGCCGCCTTGGCTCCTCCCACAGTCCGGCTCCACGACAGCATCTCTGAGGAGGGACACCATTACCTGATCTTCGACCTGTGAGTTTGGGCCCACCCTGGGATGCACAGTGCATATCAGGGCAGCCTGAACAGTGATGGCCTCTCTGGGTCCCTTGGCCTGAGGGGTCCGAAATGGCCCCAGATGGGGCCGAACCCTCCATGCTGAGGGAGTTTCCCAGATGCGATAGGTTTGCTCCCTAGCATTGCAGGTTGGTGTTCCTGAAACACCAGCACAGTTAGTTTCATTTCTACTTGTGGCCACTGGTGATATAAAGTTTCCTTTTGGAATAATGTTAAAATTTTGAAAGTGGGTTGATTGAATGAAAAGCGATAATTCAGTGAGAGGCCTGGGTGGTTCCTGGATTGGCAGAGAGGCTCGGTAACAACACTGGTCTCATCTATAAAGACACAGCCCTGGAGATGTTTGTTGATAGTGGGGGAGGCTGTGCATGTGGGGGGACAGTGGTATGTGGGAAATCTTGGAGCCTTGTGCTCAATTGTGCTGTGAACCTAAGTCTACTCTAAAAATAAAGTATTAAAAAAACCCCCCAAGACCTGGCCCTTGGGCTTCTGGGAATCTGATGAATCCTAGTGATGTGTCCTGAGGGTCCCACCCTAATCTCAGCCTGGGCCTGGGGTGGGGGGTGGGGAGAAGAGCCTGGGATGGAGGGGAGGGAAGTTAGTAGAAGGGTGGGTCAGAAGTCAGGAAGAGGGTTGTAGCAGGGGACACCCCTATGATCCCCGGGGCCCTTTGGGGCTGAGTCTCTGAGGCCCCCAGGCCCTCCCTTGGCTCCCTGGACACTCTTCCAGAAGAGATGGCACCTGGGGCCTCTGTGGGAGGGTGACTGTGCCTGTCTTCCCAGGGTCACCGGTGGGGAGCTGTTTGAGGACATCGTGGCCCGGGAGTATTACAGTGAGGCTGATGCCAGGTGAGTTCCAGGTGTGGCCTGGCAATGGCACCCAGGGTGGGGCAGGGCATCTCACCTGCCAGCTTCCCAGGGGAGGGCTGTCTTCACACCGTGACCCTTGCCTTTCTCTCCCCAGTCACTGTATCCAGCAGATCCTGGAGGCCGTGCTGCACTGCCACCAGATGGGAGTGGTGCACCGGGACCTGAAGGTGAGCGACCAGCCCAAGGGTGCAGCTCACCAGGGAGCCTGCTCCACTGTCCCCTGCCCTTCCCTCCATCTGCAGAGCCACTGGTGTTGTCAGATTCCCTTTACTTTCCCATTGTTGGGCTGGATGGAGAATATTTCCCTCACTGTTCAGATAAGGAAACTGCCTTAGGGAGGCTGAGCACCTGGGCTTGGGACCCAGACCTTCTGACTCCCAGCCCCACACGCTTTGTGCCAGGCCAGGTGAGACGCGGTTAGAATGCCAACACTGGCTATGTCCTGGTCCAAGTCCCAGCTGGGTCACTTTCTAGCTTCACAATGTCAGCTTCTTTACAGTGGGGGTTGCCATAGCAACCTCTGCACAAGTTAGTGAGGATGTCAAAGTAGACAGCACAGTGCCTGGTACACAGACCCATTGTTACTCTTGTTTCCAGGTCTCTGGCCAGACTGCAGACTGCAAGGTGGGGGGCAGGGGGAGAATAAACACAGTCCTTGAGCCCTTGAAGTGCTCTCTCTTCCCACCTGATGAAGGAGACGGGCAGGACAAGGAGGTGTGGAGTCCAGGGTTGGCATCAGCCGCACGGTCTTGCCCAGTCAGCACAAATCTGCAGCTCTGTTCTGCTGGGCCTCACGGTCTCAGCAGCTGGTAGCTTGAAACATCACTGCCTTTTTTGCAGAGCAGGAAAGTAGGCCTAAAGAGTCCCAGGGATTTGCCTGAGAACATGCAGTTCAGTCATGCCTGAGCTAAGACTGCAGCCCTGGCCTCTGACCTGAGATCCCAGGCCCTGGGGGGAGGTCTGTGGCTAAAAAACCACTCAATACAGCTCCTGCTTCTGCAGTAGCCCCTTCTAGGTAACCCTGCTGGGTATCCATCAAACCTCTGCTTTTCAGTCTTTAGTGACCTTGAACTCACTTCTTACAGGTTAGCCCCCTGCACCACTGGGACATGCTCCTTCATTCTTCCTTGCACTGGAGGTTTCCCCACGAACCCCAGTTCTACCCTTTGGGACCACACAAATCGAGCCTTGAGCTTAGAGCCGCCCTGGAGGCACCTGGGTGGCTTTGTAGTAGCTCCTGGGTCATCTACAAGCTGTTTTCCATTTCTACCCAGGATAGGGCTTCTAGGCCCTTCTCACCCTGGGCACCCTCCAGTCAGTCCAGGTCCCTCTTTGAAGTGAAATGCTCTGAGCAGAACCCCTGCCCATCTCTTACTGTCATGAGTAGTCCGTGGCTCCTCACCTTAATGCAGGTGAGCTCCCTGTGGCTCAGTCTAGACTCACAGGCAAGAAGGTCTCTGGCCAGACTGCAGGGTGGCGCTCCCCGAAGGCCTGTTCCCATTATAACTACAGCCCCTGCGCGGGTGGAAGGAGGAGAGTCAGCACAAATTTAGGCCACTCTGGATAGAATAATTAGTGGCACATCCATCAAATCAGGGCAGGACTGCGACTGAGACTTAGGGCACGTTGGGAACAGTCCCCAGAGGACAAAAAGGACCTTAACAAGCTATATTTGTTTGCGGCCCATCTAGCTTTGGGCAGTGAAAGGTCAGATGTGGGACCCCCTTGGATATCCCAGTGGGGAAGGGGATCCCCACCTCCTCCCCAAGCAGGAAATATGTGTGCTGATGCTTATCAGGCCCTTGCTGTTGGCCTCTATGAGGTACTTTATGTGGATGACTGAAATCAATTTGTCTGCCACCCCATGATATAGGCACTATCTCCGTTTTTCTGGGCAGAGACTAAAGCTTAGAGAAGTGAAATACTTTATCCAAATTTCACAGCTGGAATCAGAGGCTGGGGCTATCTAGCTGGAAAGTCCACACTCTTAACTCTTCTCTGTCCTGACTGGGGTGATTTCCTGTCCTCCAGACCCAGTAGAAGACAGCAGCCTCAACATCCCAGAGGCCAGGAGGCATGTCTGAGGCCCCCCACAACCTCCCTCCCCCATCCTCTGTCTCTCAGCTTAGAGTGGTTAAGAGCATGGCTTGGGATCCAGACTGTGCCTCGATTCTGGATCTCTCTCTTACCAGCTGTGTGATCTTTCTCCAGTCACTTTACCTCTCTGAGCCTCAGTTTCCTCCTCTTTCTACACCTGACAAATATTTACTAAGTGCCTGATAAGTGTGGGCTACTGTCTTAGGTGCTGGTGATACAGTGGTGGACAGGACAGATAACTCGTATGTTACAGGGTGACAGAGAATAAACAAGCACATAGACAAATGGGGAAACACATTACAAATTGTAATGAGATCGATGAAGGTAACAAAAAGGAGCTAAGACAGAAGAAACCTGGGGACTCTTCCTTTAGATAGAGTAGTCATGGAGGGATTCTTGGAAGAGGTGACATGAAGGTGAGGGCCAGATGACGAGAAGGGGCCAGCCCTGTGAAGCACAGAAGGAGAACAAATTAGGCAAGGAGAACAAGAAGTGCAAAGGCCCTGAGGTAGGAACAAGCATGACCGTTGCAGGGGATATAAGAAGGCCACTGTAGGGAATGGGGATAATTATGCCTACCCCAAGGAGCTGTTGAGATGATAAATGAGGTGATGTATGCAAAACACTTAGCCTAGTGACTGGCACAAAGTAGGGGTACAGTAGATGTTGCTTCTTTTTTCTTATTGTGGTGGTGGCTGTCCCCCAACCCCCACCTCCCGCCCTCACCTCAGCCCCAGCTCCAGACCCTGAGGGAATCAGGAAGGAGGGGATGACTGGCGGAGGGCCTTCCTGCTGCAGAAGACAGAGGACTTGCAGTGGGGTAGTCCTCTCTCTGGGGTCTAAGCTCAGGGTCCCGGGGTTGGAGATTATCCAGCTGTGCCACCTATCAGCCAGGTCCACCTATAACCTCACCTGAAGGTGAGGTTCTGAATCTGCTCACTGTCCTCTGGCCTTTCCTCCCACTTTCCGCTCTTCTCTCTGGTCCTGGGAAGCCGGAGAATCTGCTGCTGGCCTCCAAGCTCAAGGGCGCTGCGGTGAAGCTGGCGGACTTTGGCCTGGCCATAGAGGTGGAGGGGGAGCAGCAGGCATGGTTTGGTGAGTGGGGGTGGGGGAGGCAGGGGTGTTGGGG